CTAAAAAATAAATATTAAAAAAAAGTTATGGGAAATAATGTTTCATAATTTTATACATCCAAACCTGACCTGATTATTACCAACCAGGGAAAAAAGGGTTAAAAAACTCTAGGCAAGAGATTTCCCTAGTCTGGCTACACTGAAGCTAACACTGGAATGCAAACAATAGACTCAATAGAGGGTCTAAGACTAAAAAGAAGGAGGAGGAGGAGGAGAAAAGTGTATGTATATATTTTGCAGTTTACATGATTTCATTATACATACTACACACAGACACACAGACACACACACACACACACACACACACACACGTATGTATAATGAATATACTATCTAGCCTTTAAAAAGAAGGAAATTCCAGCCAGACGTTGTGGCACATACCCATAATCCTAGCAACTCGGGAGGCTGACGCAGGAGGATCCTGTGTTCAAAACCAGCCTCAGCAATTTAGGCTGTAGGTAACTTAGCAAGACCCTGTCTCAAAATATACAATAAAAAGGGTTGGAGATGTAGCTCAATGGTTAAGTACCCCTAGGTTCAATTCCCAGAGAAGGAGAAGGAGAAGGGAGGAGAAGGAGAAGAGAAGAAGATTCCGTCATTGAAACAGCATGAAACCAGGGGATATCATGCTAAGTGAAATAAGCCAGGCACAGAAAGACAAATACTGCATGATTTCACTTATATGTAGAATCTTAAAAGTCAGATGCATCACAGCAGAGATTAGAATGGTGGTTGCCAAGGGACAGGGCTTGGGAAGGAACAGCAGAGATGTTGGTCAAAGGGCACTACTACATTTCAGTTAGAATGAATAAGTTCTGTTGATCTCTGTTGTAGCATATAGAGACCATAACTAATAATAATGCATCATGTACTTAAAAATTACTAAAGGAGTAGATTTTAAATGTCCTCACACTCCAAAACAAGATAAACATCTAAGGCAATAAATATATTAATTTAGATTGGTTTAATAATTTCACAATGTATACATATATTAAAACATCACATTTTACATGGGAAATACATACTACTTTCATTTGTAAATTATACCTCAGTAAAGAGGGAACAAAACTTTATAAAAAGAAAATCAGTTGACTATGTATGTGTCTATCCATTTCAGGGCTATTCTATTCCACTGATCTTCATGTCCTTCTTTGGCAATACCAAAATGTCCTGATTACTATAACTTAAATTGTTAAGTCCTGAAATTCAGTGATATATGAGTTCTCCAGGAAATACTAATGATATTTATCTAAATTCTTTGCAAAATTTTTTCAGATATTCTATTTTCTTTTATTTCCCATATAAATTTTAGAATTATCTTCATCAATTCCACAAAACATACTTCTAGAATTTTTATTACATTGAGTGTAACAATCAACTAGGGGAAAATCGACATCTTAACTATACTGAGTCTTCTATCTGAGGATAGAACATCTGGCCATTTATTTATGTCTTTGATGTCTCTCATTAATATTTTATAGTTTTCAGCATATAAATATTGCACAGATTCTATGAGATTTATTCCTAAGCATTTTTTGGTCTTGGTTTGCTATTGTAAATGGTACTTTTTTCGTATTCATTTCCAATTGTTAAATGATACTACAGAAAAAGAATTTTTATAAATTGATCTTGTATCCTGAGAACTTACTAAAAAAACTTATTAGTTACAGGAGCTTTTTTGTAGATTCTTTGAGATTTTCCATGCAAATATGTTATGTGAAAACACAGACAGTTTTATATCTTCCTTTCAGCTCCATGTGCTGACAACAGGGCATCACTAAGTTTCCCCCTTGCCTTGTTGAACCAGCTAGGTCTTCCAATATGATGTTGAATAGAAATAGTAAGAATGAATATT